AAGGTCGTGAGTTCGGTTCCCGGTACCGGAGAAAAACCAAAAAAAAAAAAAAAAAAAGAAAACTTTTGTCTTTCAACTTACTGTTTCTTCCGGCCACTGTGAGAAAATAGAGTCATCGCACCGTTTCGGTTCCCTAAAACACTACTCCATCCCAATCATCACGTTCGATCCGTTTCACTTCCTAAATATTTGTCAACTTTGTATTTCTACAGCCGCCTTTCTGTCCTAGCATGCATTATGTCACACCTGCATTGTTGCAGCTGGTGTAGGCATCCATTCTTGCCTCATTCCCTCAAATTCATTTTCCGTGCCTCTTCCAAGTGAACATTGGGAGGTGTAAATCAGACTACTAAATCAGATTGCTTAAACCCTTCAATTGTTTCTCATTGTTCTTAGGATGAAGTTCAGACTCCTTAGCATGGTACTTGGCTAACCTCACCTTGCACAATCTGACCTTCTTTTGAGCTCTGCATAGACAGCTTATACTTTGCATATGTTATTTTCTTCGTATGATACCCTTTTTCTTCTGATTAGTTTCTTGTCTTTCAAGGCTTTTAAGATTTCATTCTCAGGTAAGCCTTCCAAAACCCTGCTATCCCATACTAGACCAACCCCCAGTAGGACCTATTGTACATCTATGGCAGTCTGTACTTCCTGATGACACTTTTCAAATCTGCATGTAATTGCATAATGAATTGTGTAATAATTTTTTATTTAATTCCCATTACCTGGTGCATAGTTGTTGCTCAGTGCCATACTGTATTTGTTAACTGGATGAAGAATGGTTACTTTGCTTTTTGTTTAAAGCAAAGTAAAAAGTGTCCTAGTTTTAAGACAAAAGATTAAAGTTATGTAGGAATATTGGGATTTGGTGTGGTAAGTGTCACAAATATCCTAAGACAAACAGTTCTCCCTCTCTTGAAAATAAAGAGCTTTATGAAAGAATGTGATAATGCTTTTCATATTATAAGGATCTCAACCAGCTGGCTTCCGGTTTTAAACACTTTACCTACAGTCTGTCTTTTGTAGGTGTCTGGTACTTGTACATAGTATGCACCACTAGAGGGCACATGTAACTAAAACTTGTCCAATAAGTATTGTGCAATTGTAGACTAGATTGTTTTTTGTGGAAATGAAGGGACATCTCAGTTTGTTTCTGTGGAGGTGTATCAAATAAAGATTTGTAATTGAGTAAGATCATACAATAAATCCTTTGGAATTCAGGAGAAAATGCCATTACTATTAATAGTAGCTAATTTGTATTGATTATTTAATAGGTGCTTAACATTATGCCTAATGCTTTATGTTCATTACCTAACTAGTTGCCCAGTATGCTATGAGGTTGGTGCTGTTATTTTTTTCATTTTTGCAATGAGGAAATGAGCTCAGGGAGCTTAGGTAACTTAGCCGTGGTTACACAGCTGCTAAGAGAGAGAATCTCCCCACAGTCTGCTGTATAATACTGCAGAAGATTGTCTGCTTGAACCCACATTAAAATACACTTTACTCAGTTGTCATCCATGTGGGATTTTGGGGGGAGGGGTTCACATTTACTTTAAAAGAAGTTCTAACTTTCCCTTTCACTTATTGAAATATAAATGTATTATTTTCATAATAAAATATGAGCAAAGCAAATGTTAGGAGCCAAGGTATAGATTATGACAGGCTAGTACTTCATTTTTTTTAAATATTGAGGTTGGTCACAGTGGTAGAGCAGTTGTCTAGTAAATGTAAGGTCCTGGGTTTAGTCCTCACCACCAAAAGATTTAAAAGAAAATTATATAGTAGATCATGTATACAGATGTTCCTCATTTAATAACTTAGCCAGTTCCTGTAACTAGGTCACTAACGGAATTAGTTGCTAAATGAGGAATTGTATATACTATGTACATTACAATATTCAGAAGAAAGAAATGGTTAAAGGAAACTAACTGGATGACTTTGCTTTTATTCACATGAATTTACATGCAATAGTGTGATGTATGACAGGAGAAAACTGCAGTACTGTACAGTACAATAGTAAAAGTTAAATACTATACTGTAGAAGCCACCATAAGGCCACACTGCCACTCAAATTCCTGCATCATTAATTCTGAGCAGCAGATCATAAACAGGTCACTGAATGAGGAATATCTGTACTGAAAAAGCATAAAAACATACAGAATAACTTATATAACAGCTTTCCCATCATCAGGATGGGGTACAGTGTCTGACACCTACAGTTTAAAGGAGAGCCTCATTTGGCTTATGGTTTCAGGGAATTCAGTCTACGGTAAACTGGCCCTAAGTTAGGAAACTCATGACAGAAGGCCTTGATGGAGCAAAGCAAGTAAATACCAAATTGCAATGTTGGTAAACCAGTTGGCCAGTGTGAGGAAAGGCCAGGGACAGCTCTTTGGTGCCTCTGCAATAGGTGACAGTGGCACTCTGCTAGGGTTACAAAGCAGCAGTATACCCACATACTTGAGATGGTTTTGCCCATCTTTAGGTCGCAGTTGTACTTCACCCAGGTTTTTCTGTCCAGATTATCATGAAGAGATTTGAGAAAATAAAACTAGAATATCAGTCTCATGCTTAATAGTACACTTCCCAGATATACTTATTTTTTTCTATTTGTTTCCTCTCTTTTATTCATTTGTTTACCATTCCCAGACTTATTTAAACATTTTAAGTGTTCCATTCTAATTGTGTTATTTTTACTGTATTTTTTGCTGTTTTATTATTATTACATCTTAGTATAGTTTTTTCAGTGATTGGCTTAAGGCAGTGGAGACAAACCTACAGCATGCATGCTGCAGCAGGCTGTTTGTGTTGTTAAAGTTCCAAAGAACTCACCATCCCTAGTTTAGGAATTACAGTACAATCTGTATGTTTGACGTCTTCACAGTCTACTTGAAATCAATGTTCTACCACTACAAGTACAAAGTAGAAACTTGGACACCATATAGATCCCTTTGCCCCTTTCTCTTTACGTTGTAATTATGTATTATATGTACTTAACATTGAAAAATCAACAGAAAGTGTTACAGTTTTTGTTTTTACACATTAAACATTTTGCAAACAACTCTGTGGACAAAGAATAGCCTATTATACTTATTTATTCAAATAGTTGCTGCTTCTGTTCTGAGCTTCATTCTTGATTGCCCATGTTTATAGAGAACACTTTCTGGTCCACCTTGAGACCCAGGAAGTTTATATTTGTAATCCAATGAAAAGATACTTGAATTCTAGCAAATTAATTCCGATCTATCACTTCCAATGCAACCCATGGTGAGAATAAAGAAACTAAGGCATATTTGTAGTTATGGGGAGCCAAGGGATCCTAAGTCCAGGCATGATGATGGTTATCCAGAACAAAGCCTCAACCCAAGGCTGAATCTGGGTTTTATTCATTCATGAAGAAAAGAGTAGCTTGAGGATGAGTGACTGTGAGAATGATGGGAAGAAAGTGAGTGCTGTGAGTTGGGATAAGTAGGAGGCCTGAAATCACCTCTGCAATATGCAGAGAAAAGGATATGCAGAAAGAATAACCTGCATAACACAACTGAGATAGTATCTTATGTTTTGGGGTCAGTGCTTCATCTCTGATGTGAAATCTTTTAAGCCCCAGGAAGTCATAGCCTCTATCCCAGCATTAGCTCTTTATGTCTTCTAGTCCTGGCTCACACAAGAGAACAAGGAGTGGAGGTTCCAGGGACACTCACCTGCCATCTTCAAAGACTACCATCAGCACCTCGGCTAGACCGGCTAGACCGGCTAGGCTGATGTGTATTGCTTAAAGCCAATTGAAGGGATAAGGAAAAGGTCCTGGCCAGCTCTGCACATATCAATACATGGAAATAGGGTCAGGCTCAGCCAAAATGGAGACAATTGCTTCTCTATCAAAGAGAGTCACCAGATGGTCCTCCACACACGTTGTCTTCTGGTATTACTTTCCTTCTGTCTGAACACCTTCTAGCAATTTTTGAAAGCAGGTCTTCTGTCAACACACTGAAGTTTTCCTTCATCTGAAACCTTTTTATGTCACTATCACCAGTGAGAGTAATTTGGAATACAGACAGTGGATTTGGAAAGGAAGGCTGGGGCCAGATTTTGCCAAAGTGTTAAGGTGTTTGGATTCTACTTGTTAGAGCTTAAGGGTTGTGTATGAAAAATGTACCTAAGATAGCATTGAGCTTCAGCAGAACCTACAGAAAAATAACTGTACAGCAGAACAGGGAAGGAATGAATTGATGATGCTATGTTGGGGATAAAAATGAGATCCAGATCAGTGACATACTAACACCTTCTTAAAAATCTATCAGTGGTTTTTTTTTTAGCTGCTGTAGGACCCTTAC